TGATGATGATGATGCGGAGGAGGAGGACGAGGACGAGGATGAGTCGAGGATGAGGAGGAGGAAGAGGAGGAGGAAGAGGAAGCGTGAGGTTTTCGAGCTCATCCGTCGCTTTCAGGAGCCTGGCGGACTCACCCTCCATCTCCCCTTCCCCCTTTCCCTCGTGCGTCCCCCTCCTCGTTCTCCTCCGCCCACGGGGTGGAGAACCTGCCCGGAAGAAGCATGGCGAATGGACGGAGGAGGGCGGTGGAGCCAGAAGGACGGATGGCTGGAGGAGACGCAAGGAGGAGCGGGAGGGATAGGATGCGGAGGAAGGGGAGGTCAGGAGTCTGACGTTTGTGCGTCCGTCGACACGTCTCCAACCGCCTCGAAGTCCTCGTCAGAGTGCGCTCCGACGAGAGATATGGAGGTCACTTCTGGGGAGGAGGATGTGACGAAATAGCACATGAATGGGCACCTGGGAACCCTAAGGCGACGTCGTGGTCGCACCGCGCGCGGGGACTAGCCTGCGCCGTGGATGACAGGACCCGTCAACATCGAATCCCGATTGGGAGAAAGACAAGGTCGCTATGTGATCGGCTGATCGACATCTGATTTGACGTTGACGTTGCTAGGTTCGAACCATCAAAAGGATCATGATTGTCCAATATGATAGCATGATGAGTATGAACAACATCATCATCAACACCGAAACGGGAGCTGTAATGTGTCGAATCGGGATGCATCGGCATGGAACCGAACACCGAAGCGGATTGGATGCGCCATTATTCTCAATAACGCCCAACAAATATCGAGCCGTATTGGATCGTCGGAACATCGGAATCGACTCGTATCGAGCTGGCCGGAGTCGATGTCGAATCGAATCGATCCGACCATCGAACAAGAATTTTGTGACTTTCAAACAGATTATGGGTGGCCTTCGACAGAATTCGTCGACGGGGATCTCATGTCTAAAACGGTTAAAGAAACAACAACACTTGGGGGGGACAATTAAAAAATGGTTTCCCCCAGCGCTGTAGTGCGCCTATAGAAAGCAAAAGGGAGGCGGGGCAAACTGGATCGCTGGAAACGTCCCCGCGACCGCCCTGGCGCCATTCGTGCAGGGGCAGATTCCTGCGCACCCCGTCTTGGCGCCACGCCATGCCTGTCACGCCCTGCGACCCCAGCGTGGGTAGAGACTGCGCTCGGGGACCACTCCCTGCGCACCGCGCGCCCTGTCTGGGTTGCGAAGCGGCGCTAAATACGCAAATTCGGCACGCCGCTGGTAGATTTTATACACCGGGGGCGATGTTTAACTCCAAAATCCAATTGCGAAAACCCAATATAAAAGTACATTCTCTGATCGGAAAGCGGGAACACCCCCATGTGGATATACGACACTGAATGCACACATGCCAAACGCCAACGCGCGCGCGCGCGCGCGCGCGCGCGCGCGCAGCGGCGGCATTCCGCTGATAGATTTTACAAAACGGGACGAAATGTCACGCGCGCGCGGCGGCGGCGCGCCGCTGATAGATTTTATACAACGGGGCGAAAGTTGATCTCCAAAGCCCAACGGCGAAAACCCCACGTAAAAATGCATTGTCTGATCGGAAGGCGAGAACATCTGTCGCGCGCGCGGCGGCGGCATGCCGCTGATAGATTTTTATACAATGGGAGCCAGGCTGAACTCCCAAACCGACTGGCGAAAATCCATGTAAAAACTCTTTCTCTGATCGGAAGACGGGAACATCCTCATGTGGATATGCGACGCGGAATGCACAAATGCCAATCGCCAGCGCGCGCGCGCGGCGGCGGCATGCCGCTGATAAGTTGTATGCAACGGGAGCGAGGTTGAACTCCCAAATCCAATGGCGAAAACCCAATGTAAAAATTCATTCTCTGATCGGAAGACGGGAACATCCTCATGTGGATATACGACAGTGAATGCACAAATGCCAATCGCCAACGCGCGCGGCGGCGGCATACCGCTGATAGATCGTATGCCACTGGGGCGACGTTGAATTCCAAAACCCAATGGCGAAAACCCCATGTAAAAATTCATACCCTGATCGGAAGACGGGAACATCCCCATCGGCATTCTCCCTGGTATCGAGGTATATACAAATGTCATCGCTCGGCATCCATGGAATTTTTCCAGGGGGGACAAGTAAAACAAATTATTCTGATGCGAATTAATGGCCGTCGGGATCGGGGGGGGGCATTTTTTAAACCTGTTTTGGACATTACTGACCCGGTCCATCCAAACCCGGGTCAGTCGGGACTTGCAAGATCCTACAAACTCCTGTAAGACCCGGCAGGACCCCGCGCCCAGGCCCGGGTCACTGAGCCCCTGGGTCTGCAGGATCCTGCAAGATCCAGCGCCCTGCCCGACCCCCGCTTGCATAGACCCCCGTCTCTCAAGGCTCCCGACGTTGGCGCTTTTGCTTCTTGCCGGTGGGGGAGGGTCTCGGACACTCCTGGGGCCCGGGCTCCTCCCGTCGCCCCCGCCGCTGGCTTGAGATGTCCGCTCCCAGACCCACAAGTCTGGCGACGACGACGACGACGACGACGACGACGACGAGCTCGTTCTCCAGGCATTCTTGGGCTCCTTCCATCGCTGCCGCCGCTGGCTTCAGACATCTGCCCCTGGCGCACAGGTCTGGCGACGACGACGACGACAACGACGAGCTCGTGCTCTGGGCTGTCTTGATTTTTTCGTAAGACGGAGCCAGGACGAGGACAAGTTCGGATGAGGATAAGTCGAGAATCTCTGAGATTCGGCGGCTCTGGAGGATGTCTCGGGCGCCGCGGCCTTCTCAGAGCGCTCCAGAACGCTCTGAGAGCGTTCTGGAACGCTCTGGAGCATACTTTATCCTTGTGCCAGCCCTGCCCGACCTCGCCCCCTCTGACCCTGCTGCAGGGCTCTCGCCGACACGGCAGGACCCGCCTCGAAGTCCTGGCAAGATCGCACCCCAGGGCGGGCCACGACGACGGCGTGGGCTGCTGGCCAGCGGCGTCGGATGCGGACCTCCGATGCCAGGATCCAGATCCGGACGGAGGCCTTTCGCCAGTTCGGTCGTTCTTTTGGTAGCGGCCTCCTGGGTGGGGTCGGAGTAGACGGGGTCGGAGGATCGAGCTGCATCGGCGATGCATCGCCGATACATTGGCGATGCACCCGCGACGCAGGCGATGCATCAGCAACGTCGGCGTGGAGACCATCGGGCCTGCCGAGCCGCATCGCCGATGCATCGGCGATGCGGCGAGATCCTTCGACCCCCCCGTGCTCCGACCCCATCTGGGAGGCTTTGACTTTTTGGGGGACGGGGGGCGCTCTCCGGGCCGCTAATACGGGCCCCAGGGCCGTGGGCAAACACGAGCGGGGGTGAAGGGCTGCTTCTGGCAAGGGGGCCGGGAGGCCCGGGGGCCGCGCGCGGGGGCCGCGATGCCGTCGAGGCGTGGCCGCGGGAGCGCGGGCCAGCGCCGTCGTGGGCCCCTCGGCCGAGGCCGAGAGCCCGGTGCGCAGCGGAGCTGCGCCCCAGGCGAGGCCCCGGGCAGGCGAGCCCGCGCCGCGAGGCCTCGCCAGGCGACCGCGGAGGCCCGCCGCGGCCTCGCTGCTGCGGGCCCCGCCGGCGCCTCGAGGTGGCGACGCTGCCGGCCACGGCCCAGACCGCCGACTCGGCTGCACGCAGGGAGCGCCCCATGGGCAGGCGTGGCCCCCGGTGCGCGGCGATCGGGGTGGGGGGGGGGCGGGGGGGCGAGCCCAAGCAGGCAGGCGAGCCGCTGCTTTCGCATCGCACTCCACGCTCGGGGGGCCCCAGGGGGCGCCAGAGGTCCATCCGGCCAAGGGCTCCTCTTTGAAAGTGCAGCTGACCGACGTTGTGGCCTGCTCGATCCCGGCGGTTCCTCCTCGACCTCGGCCTCCAAATGGCCGCTCTCGGGCCCATGGGCTCTCGGCCTCCAGACGCCCGCTCTGGGCCAGGCAAGAGTGCAGCACGGCTCCCTTCGGGGCGGAGACTGCTGCCCCCTAGGGCCGTGCTTGCGGAATTTCCTCATCCGCCCTGTTCTCCTCTTTTATCGCCGCCGCCCCCCCCTCTGCGGATCCTTCCGTGACTGTGCCGCCGTGATCTGGGTCGATGGAGACGGCCTGCAGCGAGGAGCGAGCCCTTGCAGAGGGGCCGAGAACTCTCCCTCACGCAGAAGGCATCCACGCACCACCGCCGTGCCTGACCGAGGCCGTCCTGGGCCCTGGCGTGACGTGCCTCGCCTCGTGGCCGAGGCCGGGAGGGCCTGCGCACCCCCGTGATGGGCCCGGGATGGCCCTGGCCAGACACGGCGGTGGTGTTGAGATGCCCTCTGCAGATCTCCCACGGGCTCCAAAGAACAGCGTCCAAGGCATTGGGGCCGCGGCGTCCCCCGCCACCCCAGACGCATCGGTCGACGAGCGACGAGCGACGGGTCGAAAGTCGGCCGCAGTCCCGCCTGTCACCCGCCCAGGGCCGCACACCCACAGGTTTTTTGCTTTCCACCACCACTTTCGCACTGCAGGGCATTCACGGAGGAGACGCCGAGAAAACCTACGTACTGGGCATGCCACGACCGCATCGCTATCCCCCCTGCCTCTCAGCCCTCCGCGCTTGTCCCCCTCCTCATGCATCCATGGCGGCCCCGCCTGGGGAGAGGATGCTCGAACGAGCGGCTCGGGCCACCGTGCTCGACAACGCGGCGCACTTCAGTCAACAAAAAAGGTTGGCTCGTGCAGCACGGACAGCCTCATGTGTGCCGACACTACTGGACTCAGAATGCCAACAACTTTGGAAGGCTGGTAGCCTCCAGCAGCGCCTCGAGGCGGATGCGGCCGCCGATCCTGTCAGGAGGCAACCGTGGTGCCGTGTTGCGGCTGCAGGCATGCCGACCTGGATGCCCACGAACCTCCCCGCTCCCCTCCCTCGTCCTCCTGCTCCTCAGGGCTCGAGGTAAACAGTGTTTCTCGCTCTCGCTTCGTTCTCGTGCTCCTTCGCTCTGTCTTCGCTCTGCCCCTGCCGCCAAACGACATCGGAGCGAAAAACGGTCCACGGCAGACGAACACGGTCCACGACATCGCGTGAAACACCGCTCAGCTCGAGCCCTGCTGCTCCTGCCGCCCGTGCAGGGGCTGGTCTCTGGCGTGTCGACGTGGGCGCTGGTTCCTCTCGGCGGTGGACAAACCTCCCTTTAGTAGACCTCCCCTCAGTGAAAACGGCCTGGGACCGAAACCGACGGACCTGGGCCCGCAAAAATGACGGCAGCGACGCCCTCTCGCGACCCGAAAACGGCCAATTCCTTAATCGACGTGTCAGGGTAGGAGGTCTGTCCACCTCCGAGGCCTCCCCGCAACCCGACGGCGGAGATCTCTCTCGAGGCAGGCCCTGCGCGGGCCGCCGGCTGACCCCAACCTTGAGCCCCGCGCCGCCGCTGACGACGACGACGACGACGCCGCCGACGCCGACGCCGACGCCGACGCCGACGCGGACGCCGACGCCGCCGCCGACGCCGACGCCGGCGCCGCCGCCGACGCCGCCGCCACCGCCGCCGCCGCCGACGACGACGACGCCGCCGCCGACGACGACGACGATGGCGGCGCAACATCCGCATCGGCACGGCGCGAACCTTCCGCACGCGCGGGGCGACGGCAGGGTGCCGCTGTTCAAAAAAGTCCTGGGCATCGACGGGCCGCCTCACCGCGTGGCCTCTGGCAGGAAGCCGGCGACCCTGCCGGCGAGCCCCGCCGCGCTGCCCTGCTTAAGACGAAGCCAGGACGAGGATACATTCGGGTAAGCAGAAGTCGAGAATCTCTGAGATCTTGCGGCTCTGGAGAATGTCTCGGGCGCCGCGGCCTTCTCAGAGCGTTCTGGAACGCTCTGAGAGCGTTCTGGGACGCTCTGGAACGAATTCACCCTCGTCCTATCTTCAGGGGGACGTAAGACCTGGGTACAGGGGACTCGGAAATCCCCGACGAGGTCGTCAAAAAAATGACGAGGCCGAGCCTGCAATTTGACGAGGCCTCCCGCTGCAGACATCCCACGAAACTCCTCCTCGTCAAAATCCGAGGCGCGGTCGTCAAAAAACGATGGCGAACCCGAGTCCTGGCAAACCCAGGTCTTACGCTCCCCCGATATCTCCGTCTGGCCTGCTGTGGCCAGGCGAGGCCGCGGGCGTGGGCGGCGGACAAGTGGTGTCGGAACCAGTCGTCCAGGAGCAGCCGCCGGGCCGACGCCTCGTACCTCAGGGCAACAAGCCATGGCAAACAGGTGGGAACTCGGAGGTCCGCGCGGATTCCTCGGACCGGCGCTGGGGCCACCGGGCGGCGCCTCCGGCGCCACCCCTGGCGCTCGCCGCGCGCCAGGGAGGGGGGTTCCGCGCCGATCCGAGAACCCCGCGCGGGCCCTCGGCTTTTGACGCCTGTGACACTGCTTGCTCTCCTGGTGCCGCCGCCGCAGCTCGCTCTTGGTGCCGGGCTCCTGGTACAGGTACGCGTGCGTGGAGGGCCAGCCGTCCCGGTCTGCGTGCCTGAAGAGGGGACTGGCCCGGGGGGGGGGCAAGCCTCGGCCTGGAGCCGAAGGCAGAGCGCCGAGGGATCCGCGGCAGGCCCTCCGAGAGGGGAAGCCGCGCGCTCCTGCCCTGGGGCGGGGCGCCCGAGCCCCGAGCGGCCGATCGGGGGTCGGCGCTCCTTCCGCCCCCCCCCCGAGCCAGTCCCCCCTCCCAACTGTGGGCGCCCCTGGAAGTGCCTGGCCCAGGCCGCGGAGACGGCCGCCACGCACCGGAGGTCGCCGAAGATGTGCCTGCACTGCCGCAGCCGCGCCTCGAAGGAGCGCGGGGACACCGCGCCGGCGCCGGCGCGCTCGGACGCCACCTCGCCGCACCCTCCGCGCGCAGGCGGCAGGGGCGGCCACAGGTGGCCCACGACGCGCTCGGAGGTGTCTTGGCACAGGCGCCCCAGCGGCTGGCGCGCGGGCCGCCCTCCACGGCCTGGCGCGGCGGCCCCGGCGGCGCTCTCTGGCTGCGGACGCGGGGCCGCGGGCGCGGAGCAGCCGGTGAGGGCAGCCAGGGCGGCGGCGCCCAGGGTGCCGGGGGGCAGCCAGACGGCGGCCACCCTGAGGGCGGTCGCGGCGGTGCTCGAGGAGGCCGCGTGGCACGTGCGCCTGCGGGAGGTGGGCGGCCGCAGCGTGGACGCGAGGGCGGGGAAGCTGCCGGGCGGCAGGTGGCCTCGGCCGAGCGCCATGCGCAGCGCCGCCGCGGCGTTGGCCGCCATGGGAGGCAGCCTTCGGGCCTTGGGGGCGGTCTGGCTCCCGTTGGCGCTGGCCGCCTGAGCCGAAACGGTTGTCGGATGAGGCACCACGCTGGAAACCGGCGACGACGGACGACGCCGACGACGACGCCGATGACAACAAATCCGTATCCGCGCCCTCGCGGTCTGGATTCCGGGGCGCGACTCCGCGGATGCGCGGTCGCACGGATGCGCTCCGCGCGGGGCACCCGCGCACAACACGTCCCGTCTGCGCGGGGCCGCGGCCCAGGGGCCCAGCCCGCGGGGCCGCGGACACAGAGATGCTGTTCGCCCGCGCGGAGTGTGGGGTCCGTAGGCGTGGGGGTGAAGAAGCGTAGGCGCCTGCCGTGCGCCTTCGGGGCCCGCGGCGGCACTCGAGGGGCCGCTCTGGGCGCCTGCCGGGCCAATGTTTCCTGCAGTCCTCGATGCCCCCAACGCGTGTGGCATCCCCGCTGCCGCCCGCCCGACCTGTGATGGGCCAGCAGTGGGCGTCCAGTAGGCCAGTGGCGCTCGCCCAGGAGCGTTGCCTTGGGCGGGGGCGACTGGCCGGTAACGGGGCGGACATCAGCAGACATGCGAGCCTCGTTCGAGAACTGTTCCCGCATCCTTTTCTACAGGCGTTCCGCCGCGCGTTCTGTCTCGGTCGATCGTCTTGTCTCGGGATGCTCCCTGACGCCGAGTCGGGCTGCGTATCGCATCGGGGGTGGGGCAAGCGCACGGGGGCTGCGCCGACGGCAAAGTCAGGCACGGAACCTTCAGGGCGCACCTTCGCTGGCCACATGCGCGGCACAAGTGCGCGTTCACGGACGCCGTCTCCAATGCGCGCGCTTCAGCGCAGCATGCAATATGCGGCATTGTGTGCGTGAGGACGGGAGGGCGCATTGCAGCATCGTTGATGCATTCACGCTGGTTCTCCTTGCGCTTCATCATCATGCTACCTCACTCCTCTCCTCCTCATCCTCCTCCTCCTCTTCTTCCCTCCTCCTCCACGTCTTCCTCGTCCTCCTCGTTCTCCTCGTCCTCCTACTCCCCCTCCTCTCCCTCCTCGTCCTCCTTCTCCTGTCTCCTGTCTCTTGTCTCCTCCTTCACATCCTCCTCCTCCTCCTCCTCCTCCTCTTACTCTTCCTCCTTCTCCCCTGCTTCCTCCTGCCGCTCCCCCTAAAGCCCCCTTGGACTCAAAGTTACCCAACTGCTCGAGAACTGAATCCCCTCAGCACCTCCGAGAAACCTCTTGCCGCTGCTGCTGCTCCCCCGACGACGAAGACGGAGACGAAGCCGACGGCGGCGGCGGCGACGACGACGGCGACGACGGTGGCGACGACGGCGGCGGCGCCAAATGGTCTGCACCATCATGCCGTTGGGGCGCCGCTTGCCCTTCGGGTGCGGCCTTTCACCGGCGCCCCCCCATCCCAGCCGCTGCGCTCTCTCGGCGCTCGCCGACGGCGGCAGGAGGAGCGGGGGAGAGAGGAAGGGGGGAGCGAGTGGGGGGAGGAGGAGGAGGGGGGATCATGAGGAACAGCAGGAGGAGGCCTCTCTCTCCTCCTCCTCCTCCTCCTCCTCCTCCTCCTCCTCCTCATCATCATCTTCATACTCGTCTCCTGCTCTCCCCCTTCCCATCCTCGCCCGTCTGCTCGTTTCCCTGCCCCTCTCCCCTCCTCTCCACTCCACTCCTCTCCACTCCTCTCCTCTCCCCTCTCAAATCCTCGCTCCTTTACTACAGTTGCTCCATATAAATGCGGGGCGCCGCTTCTCCCACGTTACTTTTACATCTTACGCGGATGACTTCACTGGCTGATAGTTTGCATGTGGTTTCCATGATGCCCCCAGCAGTGTTTGCCCTTCGTAGTGTCTTACTTCTGTTGTGAAAAACTGGTCTGGTGTGGCGGTCAAGCGGCTATGCTGTCACCTTCGCCGCCCTGGTGCCGCCTCGTCGCGTTGCACCGCATAGAATGCCCCACATAGATGTCACAACACGTTCTGCACCACATTGTTTGCACCACCTGTATTGCACCGCAAAGGTTTCACCACATGGCTTGCACCACATATATTGCACAGCATGTATTGCACAACGCATATCGCACAGCATGGGTTGCACAGCATAGACTACACCAAATGCATGTATGTACATATGTATATGTGCACTGTGCAGCACATGTAGTCCACCACATAGTAGGTGAACCGTATATGGCACAACGCATTTTGCGCCACGCAGATGGCACCACATCGGTTACTTCACATAGTTGACACAACCGATGATGCACCACATAAGGTGCACAACATGGATTGCGCGACCTGTGTTGCACACCATAAGCTGTACAACATCTACGTTTGCACCACATTTACTGCACCCCATATACAACACCACCCGCTCCACCTGCTACGTATGCTGCTGCTCCTCCTCCTCCTTCCTCCTTCTCCTCCTCCTCCTCCTCCTCCTCCTCCTCCTTCTCCTCTTGCTCATTATCCTGGTCATCCGCCACCACCGCCTCCTCCTCCTCCTCCTCCTGCAATGCATGTCCCTGTTCTGATCGCGCATGGCGCGCGATAGGGGTAACTTCGGGGGGTCCGATAAAGAACGCAAAGGGAACGGATGGGTTGGAGGGGTAGAATGTCGGATATGGCGCGCGAGCGCACCTTCGCTGCTCTCTTGCCAACAATTCGCCACAACGAATACTACTGCCCTATCTCCCCAGACCCTGTCCGCGCGTGGCCTCTATTATCCCGCATCGTGCTTCTTCGCGCGCAGGATTTCAATGATGAGTAGTTTCAAGCATCTGTTCCACTCATGACGTCTTTGGTGTTACGGATCGTGTTCCTGCTGCAGCGTTGGCCCCCAATTTCTGGGTGCTCGCCCCAGCGCGGGCCACATTTCTGGGTCTGGTTCCTTCATCGTTGTTGTCGCCCCCTCCTTTCCCCGCCTCCGCCTTCCCATGGTCCTCCAACTCCTGCTCCTGTTGCTGCTGCTCTTCATCCTCCTCCTCCTCTCCCACCTTTTCCTGGATCTGGACGGGGCGCCCCGCAGGTATTTAGAGCATCCAAGCTGGCCCAAGATGGGTCCAAGAGGGCCTCAAACAGGCCAAGAGAGCCTCACAGATGGATCAAGATAGCGCGAGGTCGTTCAATATGGTTTCCAACGAACTCCAAGAGGCTCCAACAACGCTCCGAGACGGGTCCAAGCGGCCTTGAAGGTTCCTCAAGATGCCCCTCCCCACGGCCAATATCTTTTCAAAGCCGTCGGACAATCAATGATTTTGACATTCTCGCCCGTTCGCTTCCGATGGCCTCCCGGGGCCTCAGGATGGCTCCGCGAGGGCCCAAGAGAGACCCAAGAGGGGACCGATAGTCCTCCAAGATGGCTCTAACAGCGCCCCAAGATCGCTTCGAGAGGGCCCCAAGCGACGATGTTAGTGCTTTTCTGGGGGGCGACGCTAATTCAGGACCCCCCCCTTTTTGATCGATGTCCTCAAAGATGGCCCCACAGGGCCCCCAAGGGGGCCCCAAGAGATCCCCAACAGGGCCCTGAGAGGCCCCCAAAACCCACCAAGCCGCCCTAAGAGGCCACCCGTAGCCCCCCCCGCATGAGACATCCCAAGTGACTCTGAGAGACATCCATGTTGCCTCCAGTTCACTGGCTCCCCGAGGTGTCGGGATGACGCTAGGCTCGCCCGAGAAGGGCATCTCCCTTGGCATCGCTCCTAAATATGCTGGTGGGGATATTTTTGTTGGTCAGCGGCCTCGTGAAGCGGGTCAAAAGGCGTCCAAACTCTAGCTGGGCCACGACTAGGCAGCAGAAAAACGGAAAGCGGAAAAGCAAGACAGGCGCAGAGAGGGGCAAGCGAAGCGAACGCGCGGGTAGCCACTCAGAAATGCACCAGGAAGGCACTCCCAACCCGGTGGCGTGGAAATCCCGGTGGCGACCATCAAGAAGGCGCAGCCAAAATGGCGCAGCGGCGCGACCATGAACACGCAGAGGTCGACCACCCGTTGTGAGTCGTCATAGGGCCCGACGAAAACGAGCAGGTCCGACAGGCACTTCAGGGCGACATTCGTGCCGTAGTTGACATAACAGCACCGTGTCGGCGCCGGAGTGAAGAGGGGGCAGCCTCGTCACAGACAGGGCTGGTGGGGATACGCGAAACGTTGAGAACTGACACGAACACCTCCTGCTGCAAATCTCCTCACATCGCGGTCAGGCCCGGGCATGGTCTTTCAGACCGACCCCTGGACCCGTCCCAGAGTACGTTCGGGCCCGAACCAAAAGGCCCAGGAAGAGCAAAAAACGCTCAACAACATCAATGGGGAAACCAGAAGGTACCGATACCGCTAGTCCCCGCACCTCTCCCAGGGTGCGCTCTGACAAGAATTCCGAGGCGAATCCAGCGGTTGCGACGAGGGCCTCCCAAGAGGTCCCAAAAGGGGGAAACGAGGAAGGGTAGCGGTATGGGTACACGTCGGTCGGAAGAAGCGGGCAAAAACATAACGTAGGAAGGCGGATAGAGTAGATTAGTTCAGGCCCTCCCAGAGAGTAACAAAACACAGAAAAGGCAGATCGATTCTGGCAGTAGGAAGGCGCTTGAAATAGACTGGGGTCTATGAATCCAGAAATACGTACTTTCAACGACCGGCCGGTACCTTTTCCTCCTCTGACTCTAAGAGGCCTCCTAGATGGGGTCCGAGTGAATGGGGTCGGACGATCGCGCCGCATCGCCAATGCATGGGCGACGTCGATGGTGCATCGGCGACGCCTGCGCGGAGAAAATCGGGCTCCACATCGAGCCGCATCGGCGATGCGTCGGTGCTGCGGCGCGACCCTCCGACCCCTTCTGCTCCGACCCCGCTTGAGAGGCCTGGGGACTCACGCCTCGATCCTCGAGCCTGAGGGCCCCCGCGCCCCGCCTGCGAGGCGACGGCGGCGGCAACCGCTCCGGCGACCGCAGCGCCACCGCCTCGAAGCGCGGCGCCGGCTCGGCCCCGGGGGCCTCGGAGCCGCCCCGGGGGCGCGGCGGGGACCGCAGCGGCGCCAGGGGCTCGGCTGCCTCGG